GGAAGTTGAATTAAACACAGAATCCCCTATTAGCGTTAATAGTTCTCCACCTGTCACTGTTAATAGTTCTTCAACGCATACTGTTAATTCATCCTCATCAGAAGAAAATTCTAATTATGAAATAGCACCACCAACAGAAATACCTATTCCTACTGATGCTGAAAGTGAAAATTATGAAGATAAGGATAAAGATAAGAATAAAGAAAAACAATAATAATAATAATAATAATAAAATAAAAAAAATGCCTTAAAGAAATAGCGACTTTATTCTATAAGATAAATGCCATTCTATAGCAGACACTCAGATGATGGAAGAGATAGATTGTTAGGAGGAATACATGATGAAGATGATTATAATGACTTTATGAATGTGTTATTTATGAATAGTAGTTTTGTTGATGACATTGAAAGACATTATAAAAGTTCAGATGCTGATGTGTTGCCAAGTCTACTGATAGCGAAGAAACAAAAGAAAATACAGAGAAACAATATCAAAAGGATTATCATAAAAAAATATATTCAAGAAAAACTTAATAAACCTTACACATGTAATATTTGTGGAAAATCAATGGCCAACAGTTCTAACAAATCAAGACATGAAAAAAGTAGAAAGTGCCAGAGTACTAAAAGTAAAGTCTAATTGGATAATATTAATTTAATTTTAATTTAATTAATATAATCCAATTTCAATATATGAGTAAACTAAGTAATGAGGAGATAATGAGCAATATCTATTATGATTTAGAAACAGGTTATGGTTCTAAACAAAGCTTATACAATCAATCAAAAGAGAAAGGAGCAAGTGTAACATTAGAAGAAGTGGCAAAGTGGTTGAAGAAGCAACCTAACAAGCAAATAAAACCGTATCAGAATTATAACAGTTTCTTAGTGCCTTATGCCAGAGCAGAATTTCAAATAGATATTATGGATATGAAAATATTTAAGAAAGAAGATGAAGAACGCTATGCATTGATTGTAATAGATGCTTTCAGTAAATTAGGTTTTGTGTATCCAATGTTTCAAAGAGACAGTCCAAATGTTTTGAAAGGTTTGAAAGAAGCATTTAAAGTTATGGGTGAGCCTGTGGAAATCTTTTCTGATGATGATGGAGCATTTAAAGCAGAAGTAAAGAAATATTTAGATGATTTAGGTATAATACATAAAACAACGCTAACACATGCCAATATTGTGGAGAGATTGATTAGAACGATGAAAAAAGGAATAGGAGACAGAATACACTTTACTAAAGGTAGATGGACTGATATGTTGAAACCTACATTAAAGAAATATAATAGCGCTATTCACTCATCAACTGGAATGAAACCAAATGAAGCGCATGATGATAACAACAGAGCAAATGTAAAAGCAAACCTTACACTGAAGCAAAAGCATATGAGGAAATATCCTAAATTATCTGTTTCAGACACAGTGAAAATATACCAAAAAGGAAAAGGTAATTATACATCGAGGAAAGAAACCAACCCAAAGTGGACAGAAAGGAAATACAAAATAGAAAAGATAGAAAAAGATATAACATTACAAACATACTATGTATTAGAAGGTTTGAAGAGACATTATTTGCGCCATGAATTATTACTAATTGAAAATTAAAAATAATAATTTAGACTGATAATTAGTTATTTAGTTCTTAGAATTTTTTGACTTTAAAAAGACTTAAAGAGAAAACCATAATTAAATTATATAGATAATAATATGAATAGAGATTTACCGCCAGATGAAAACACTAAAATAGTTAAGTATCTTCTTAAAGAAAATTTAGGAGAATACAAAGTAAATAATAAAGGTAAAAAACTTAAAACCATAATTATAGGAAACAACCAGTATAGATATAATCCAGAAAAACCAATAAGTAATAGATTGAGTAAGAGACTTGAAGCAGTAAAGAAAACTAATGACTACAAAGCAAATCAAATCAGAGAAAGAGTAGGAGCAAGAACGGTTTTAAAACATGCTATTAAGAAAAAAGCAGTAATAACAGAAGAAAGAAGCGCCTTTAGAGCATATGCTAACGCCTACACAATTTCAATCATTCATTTAAAAGAGTTGAACGGATTGACTTATTTTAATTATCAATTTGACAAACTTAATGAATACTTGAAAGAGAATAGAGGAATGAAACTTAATGCTACAATAAATATGAAAGGTATGAACTTATTTGATGAGGAGAGAAACGTAACAGTTAGGACAAGGTCGTACACTATTGTAAATGAAGAGGATTTAAGGAATGCTTTGAAAAGAATGAGACCTGATGTTGAAACAAGAATTTTAGATATGGCTTTGTATCAGTCAGGATTAAAAATTAGCAATATTAATAATATTCATATCATGTATAATAAATATAATCCGACTAGAGCTGGCAAATATATTGAACTTCCAGAATGGATTAAAAAGAAAAAGGCATGTATCAATATTAAAAATCAAGATGACAAGTGTTTTAAATATTCTATTGAGTGTGGATATTGCAAAATTTGTGATAAAGCACACCCTGAAAAGATGTTTCATTACAAGAAGATAGCAAGTGATTTGATTTTTGATGGTGTGAGTTTTCCTGCTAATAATAATGATATAGATATATTTGAAGAACATAATAAATCAATATCCATTAATGTTTATGAAATTGATGATAATGAACAAATTGTTATTAGTAGAAAATTGGAAAATAAAGATGCTTCTTTTCATTTTGATTTGTTAAGAGTTGATGATGAGGATTGCAGTCATTATGTGTATATAAAAAGTTTGAGCAGACTTATTAATAATCAGAAAAGTAATCATAATGGTAAGTCCTATTTTTGTAAATATTGTAATCATGGATTTAGAAATGAAGAATTATTAAATAAACATTATGATGGTGGATGCATGGAAGTTGATGGTCGACAAATAGTAATGCCTAAGCCTTATGAGAAAGTTAGTTTTAAGAATCACTTCAAAAAGTTAAGGTGTCCTTTTGTTTTATATGCTGATTTTGAATGTTTGACAGAGGAACTGAAAAAACCTGATGAAGATGAAGATAAAAACACATTTTCTTATCAAGAGCATAAACCATGTGGTTTTATGCTTAATATGGTTAATGCTGTTGATAATACAAATTATGAATTTATGTATCGTGGTAAAGATGCTGTTGATGTGTTTTGTCAAAAACTTAATGAGATTAGGGCAGAAGTAAAGGAGAAGATGGGAGAAAGCGAAAAAATAGACATGACTGATGAAGATAAAGAAGATTTTAAAAATGCTAAAAACTGCTTTATTTGTGGAGATAAGTTTAGAATGAACTATAAGAATGCCAAGGAAGCAGAGAAATATAGAAAAGTTAGAGACCATTGTCATTTTACAGGTAAGTATAGAGGTTGTGCTCATAATGTTTGCAATCTTAATTTTTGTAATAGATATTTTAAAATTCCAGTATTCTTTCATAACATGAAAAATTATGACGGTCATTTAATTATTCAAAATGCTGATAAATTAAGTAACAACAGTAAAATAGGTGTCATCGCTCAGAACAGTGAAAAATTTATTAATATCAGGTTTGAAAGTTTGAGTGTTAAAGACACTTTTGGGTTTTTAACTGCTTCATTAGATAAGTTAGTTTCAATGAGTAAGTATGATAATACAGATGAAGAAGATAAAAGTAAATGGTTATTGCGTGAAAACTGGAATGATAATTTTAGGTTCAGTAGTAAAAATGATGTGATTAAGAGTGAGAAATGTCTAGATTTATTAACTGATAAAGGCGTTTATCCTTATGACTACATGAATTCATTTGATAAATTTGATGATGAGCAATTACCGAGTAAGGATGATTTTTATAGTCAGTTGAGTGAAGAAGGTATAAGTGTTAACGACTATGAACACTTGGGGCAAGGGCACGCTTGGGGCAGCACCACACTGGACACTTGGGGCAAGGGCACACTTGACACTTGGGGCAGGGAAGGGGCACACGGCGCAGGGGCAGGGGCAGACTTGGGGCAGGGGCGCTTGGGCAGGGCACACTTGTGGCCGGGGCACACTTGGGGCAGGGGCACACTCGGGGCACACGCTCGGGGCAGAGTGGGGCAGGGGCACACTTGGGCACACTTGGGGCAGGGCACACTTACACGCACACTTGGGGCAGGGGCGCACTTGGGGCAGGGGCAAACTTGGGGCAGGGGCACACTGGGGCAGGGGCACACTTGGGGCAGGGGTTGGGGCACCACACTTGACACTGGGGCAGGGGAAAAAATAGTAAAAGGAGAATTCAAAGAATTATTCTTTCTACTATTTTTTTCCAACAGCAACACAACAAACAGAAAACAAAATCCAGAACAACAAGCAAACAAAATAAATAATCACAACCAGCAACAAAAATATTTAATCACAGCATGCAACATTAAATAATTCAAACAAGCATACCAACAAAACAGCAACACTCTAAATCATCAAAGAACCCAAACTCAAAAACACACATCAACAAAAAACAAAGCAGCATACCAACAAAAAATATCACAAGAGTATCAAACAAAACAAAAACAAACAGCCAAAGCACGAAAAAATCAGAAGAGCATACCAAGTCTAAACAACGCACTTTGAAAGAGATAAGCAAATTAGGAAAATATAATAATTCAATCTTTACAAACGATAAATATATTACAATTATAACATATAATATTTTACATGTGAAATCATAGTATGATTAAACCTGTTTTCAGTGTTTCCAGTCTCCTATGTTGTTCCAAGAACTGCTCAAAATGTTTCTGATATTATACCAGATTAAGTTAACGTCATAATCTTTCATTGGTGCTCTTTGTTGTATTAAATAACGCAACACTGATATCAAAGTATAATAATTACAATGCATTGTTGTCATTCCTCCTCTTTCATTAATACTATTACCATTACGTTTAACGAGTTCTTCTTTCATTATGTTTTCGTAAATCTCTTTTATCCATTGTTGATTTTGTTCTCCATACTCAGCGAACATATCTGGATATATATCTTTCATGGTTTTATCGTTTTTAATTATTTCAATGACTTGTTTATACGATGGATAGGGATTATCCTTAATGAAACTCAATATTATCTTTCTATCCTGTTCCAGCTCTTTTTCTGTCACTCCTATCATTGGCATTTTTCACGTAATATATTATGTTATTTTTATTCCTGTAAGTCATTTTACATTATAAATATAACATATAAGGGTATCAATGTTATAATCCTTCCCCGATTTATCAAAATCATTCCCCATTTTATCACAACATTCCCCGATTTATATCAAAATCATTCGCCCGATTTTATCAAAATCATTCCCGATTTTATCAAAATCATTCGCCCGATTTTATCCAAATAGTGGTGGTTGGTGGTTCATTGCAATTGCAGGTGCTCAAGTTGCAAGCCGCAACCCCAAACTCAAAATCCTTAATCCGTCAAATTCACTAAGATTTCACAAATTAATTCGCTAGGTATTTAAAATAGGTCTTCCTGTTTATGTATTGTTGGATTGTCTCCCCAATTTTCCTTAGTGCCCGATGGAAGCCGTTGCGCTGTTTCAATATGTTTATTATTCTTGATGTTGCCACAATCCTTTTTACATAATTCTCTAGGTTTCCAAGTTGTAATGTTATTCCAGAGCCTTGTCCTCTTTCTATAATTAAATCCATATTTACAATAATCTACATCTTTAAATCCAAACTCATCCATAAACTCCTGATTTTTTAATAGTTTGTGGATTTTCGATTACAAAATATTTAGGATTGAAATATTTGATAATCTCAATAGTTTTTAAGACAATATTATTTGCATATTCGATATTCCTACTTCCCCTAGTTTTTGCTATGCTGTATTCAGTGCATGGAGGACTACTCCAAATAAAATCAAAATGGTTTCTGTCAAACTGTTTGTAATCCCACTCCAAAATATCAGTGTTGATATCAGCATTTTTCAAGTCTAATGATATCACATTAAATCCAAGCGACTTTGCTATGATTCCGACTGAACCACTACCTGAAAATAACTCTAATAAATTCATTTATTAGAATTATTTAGATATTATTTATTCAAATAATACATATACTCCATCATCATTTTTTGAAATTTTATAATAGTCTAATGTTTGTTGCTTTGGTTGCTTGATTTTTCCTGTATTCAACATATCACAATATTTCTTTTGCTTTGTAGGATAATCACCCGTTGGTCTTCCTATAGATTTTGCTTGAAATATCTTTTCAATTTTTTCTTTATCTTTATTGCTTTGTTGTTCGCGTTCAACTGGTTTCATTTTATCATCAAGGGATTTAATCATATCGTTTAAGGTTTTGATATTTTTACCAAGTAATATTATCTTCTTCATTAAATCATTAATAATATAATTTTCATTTTCAGACATTACTATATATTTATTTAAATAATAATTTATTTAATTATATGTTATATTATATAATTTACCTGAATAATTGCATTTTATATATGTAAATAAATTATATTCTAAGAGTCTTTCACCAATTCTATTTTTCAATTGTATTAAACCTTTATCGTTACCTATAATTTCAAAATACTTCAACATTTTATCAAATTTATCTGGTTTAGTTATACCTTTCATAAAATATTTATTATTAAATTTAGTATCTAACCAATAAAAATATTCTATACTCAATTGTCTAGTAAAGTTTTTATCACCATCGAATATATCATTAATTTCTTCATCATCAAAAGTTATAATTCTATGGTTTTGTCCATTCACAGTTGGCATTATGATTATATAAATAATTAGATATTTATTTAAATATTTATTTATTTATATTTATAAAATGCAATTATATTAAATCTACTCTTTAAATACAAATTTTCATGATTTGTTTAACAGTCTCCTGAGTTTCGTTTTCATTATTATCGGTTGGTGTTGCTTGCCTACCAAATTTAAAAGTTATACTATGGACATCAATTTCTAAGTTGATACTGTCTTTAGTTTTATCAATTTTCTTATCATTTTTACTTATTTTGAAACTTATTGGAATATATAAACATTTATAACTTTTATTATTTTTTATTTGTAATTCATTCTTAAGTGCTAACATTCTTTTGCATATAGGACAAACAACCTCAATAACTGATATTTCTTTAACAATTTCTTCATCAGTTGATGAAACACTTAAACCTGTCTTATTCTTTTTGTTTTTCTTTTTTGGCATTTATATTAATATTTATATTTTTAATATATTGTATCAAAAACTTAATTAATTCTAAAATAAAATAACATATTTTTTTACATCTATTATCAGTTATTAGTACTTGTTCTATATTCTCCATTTCATCTATTATATTAATATAATCTGTATAACTCCTTTTCATATTAAATAATAAGATAAATTATTTTTCATTTCTGTCTTTCTTTTCCTGTAAAGTTTTTTCATTGTATCGTCTTTATTCCATTTGAATTTTACAAATTTCTGATGATGTTTTGAATTTAGATGTTTAAATAAATATTTGTCATCATAAGTTTTACAACAATTGCAATGGATAACAGTCATATAATAATAAGATAAAATAATTATTTAAATTATTTAATCTTATTATTTTCATGCATGATAGAATATTCGGAGGGCACAGCACTTGGGGTTTTGATTGCACGCGAGAGAGATACAAACTAATTAGCTTCAATGCTTGTTGATTGTAGCAATGGAAAACCTGTTCCATTTTTATGATATTCGCCACCAGCATATCATAAAAACGATGTTCCATTAATATTAAATAGAATATTTATTTAAATTATTTTCTTTAGCTTTAGTAAGTTTTAGTGCAGTTAGCATATCAACATCTAGAATATTATTATTAATAACTTCTTGTACACTATTTATCATTTCATCTGTATATATATTAGAATAATCTTTCATAAAATTTACTAACTTTCTAAAATTAAAATCTAGGTTATTGTCATTTTCAATTGCGGACTTGGATACTACGATATTATAATTTTTAATTCCAGATAAAAAGTATAACATCGTATCATAATATATTTGTACAGTATCTGGAACTAAGACATCACCAAATTTATATATCCTCCGAATACTAGCCACTTCATTTAAATTAATAGATTCTATAGCCATTATGATATAATTATATTATATATTTTTTTATTTATAAGTATTTATAATATTATTTTTATTATGCCTGATGTAAAACCAATTGATGAAATCAAATATGACTTTAAGCAAAGTAAGCATGAGGTCGTCCCTAAATTGCCAATGAGAGCTATGATTGTCGGTCCATCTGGAAGTGGAAAATCAACTTTACTTGTATAAATGATACTTGATATTTATAGAGGAGCATTTGAAAGAATTTTTATCTGGTCTCCATCTGTAAATTTAGATAGTATTTGGTTGCCTGTTAAAAAATACATTAAAGAAGGTTTGAAAGTAGATAATGATAAAGAACCGTGTTGGTGGGATGAGTTCAATGTTGAAGATTTAGAAAGAGTTATAGAAACTCAAAATAAAATAATTGAATATCAGAAAAAACAAGGAACGAAGAAATTATTTAATATTTTGGTAATTTTGGATGATGTATCTGATAACCCAGCAATAACAAGAAATAACAAATTGTTAAATTCTTTATTTTGTAGAGGTCGTCATAGTGGAATATCAACACTTGTAAGTCTTCAAAAATCATCAACAGTACCACCAATTATTAGGGTAAATATAAGTCATTTGTTTTATTATAAAGTTAGAAATTTTAAAGAGATAGAAATATTGCAAGATGAATTATCAGCAATTGTTAGAAGCGATAATTTACATGAAAGCAAGAAACTAATTTATAAAATATATGAGACTGCCACTGATGAACCGCATAGTTTTTTATATATTAACCTTTTAGAAAAGAATCCAGATAAAATGTTTATGAAAAAATTTTCTCAATATTTGAAAATTACTAATTAAAAATAAATAATTAAATAATTAAATATATATTAATATTATATGATATTTTATGATTTACCAATAGAAATTAAAGACATAGTATTATCTTATAGTTTAGGCGATGTTAGATTATTAAAAATAAAAAATAATAATATTATTAAAAATTATATTAATAAATTTAAACCAGTATATAAGTCTTACAAATTAAATAACCTAGATTGTTTTGAAATTGATAATATCAATATTAATAATGGATTATCATATGTTTTTAATTTAAGTGAGTTAGATAAATTACATAAAATATATACACCATTAAATTTATTAATTGAATATGGGTTAATTATTACATCTACATCATCTAAATGTTTGAATCAAGATCGTTTTCGTACTATAACATCAAATAATTTATTTGATATTTATTATTATCTTAATAAATATCTTTATGAAATTGAATTAGTGTATAATGATAATATGGTTAATTTCATTTCATTACAAGTAAAAAAAATAACTATTAAAGTCATCAATGATGACTTTTATAAATATTTTTAAATTAATAATATTAATATATTTTTTGTAATATTATTAATTTAAAATTCAAAATAATGAATACGAACAGAGATTGAGAGCAGGTAATTTATATATTAATTTGTCACATTTAGTTGCCTCTAGTTTTTCTAATCGTTCACTCACTTGCTTAATTGCTTTCAACTGTAATTTATCAATATTACTTAAATCTAGTTTTTCTATATCAATATCATTAATTTTATCAATAGATGAAGTTTCAACATTACTATTTGAATTACCCATTATATATTATTATTTAGATTATAATATAATACAATAATAAATATTCAAAGATATGCCATACAATGATAAATATGCAAAGGAATTAGCATAGGCCAACAAAACAACAGTGTAAAAGGAGCACATATTTTATCACACTTCACCACTCGTCTGTCAAATTCCTCTTCTCTTCTTTGTCTTTTTAATTCTTTAATTTTTTCATCAAATTTAGAATGACTAAAATCACATTCTTTATTATTACATTTATCTAATGTAAATTCATCTTTATTTAATTTAGTAATTTTACAACCACAGTAACAAATTTTCTCTCTCATACTATCATGTTGAAATAATACTTTTATTTTAACTTTTCTGTCAATGTCCATATATATATCTAGATATATTAATTATTTATTTAATTATTTATATATTTATATATTTATATATTTATATATTTATATATTTATATTTAAATTATTTATTTTTTTCTTTTTTAAATTCTTTAATTTCTTTTTCAAGTTTATCTACTTTATCATTTAATTCTAATACTGCTTTATGAACTAACACGGGTAAAACTAAATAATTTAATCCTAAATAATCTCTGTCTTTACTAACAACATTTTCAATTTCTTTCGGGATTGCTTTTAATACTTCATCTGCTATATATCCTATATGAGTTTTACCGCCATCATTTCTATCGTGTCTTTTAAACTTCTTCGGTTTAAATTTCTTAATAACATTCATACAATTAGATTTGATATTGTCTATGTCATATTTCAATCTTGAGTCAGCTGAATCCACAAACGTTCCGTTGATGGTTACTGTTGTTGCTGTTAAATCTATATTAGTTCCTGTTGATGGTTCAATTAAATTACATAACATTTTTTTCGTTCCTGCAACTGTTACATTTTCATTAAAAGTCGATGGAGCATTATTTGTAAAACTTTCAGTATTTACTGTAGTTCCAAATGTATTATCAATAGATAATAAAACTGAAGGTGTACTTGAAGCATCTGAAACTCTAAAAGCTGTGTTTGATGTTCTGAATATTACATCAATTGTAGATAAATTAGTTCCATCATGATAAGTTGATATTTCACTTGTTCCCATTTTAATATCAGTTCCAGTAGTCATTGAAATATTATTCAAAAATGAAACCGTTGTTAAATCAAATGATTGAATGGTGTTAGTTGCTAAATATGCATTTTGAACTGCTAGGTTAGTATCAACGGTCACTAATGTTCCACCATTAGGTGCTATATGATTGCTTCTTAATGCTCCATTAGTTTTAACATAAACATCATCAGCAAATAAATTACCCATTACATCAACAGTAGAAGTGTTAAAAGTCCATCCAGTAGAAATATTAACTGCTCCAACTATATTAGATTGAACGGCAGGATCTCCACAAATAAATCTAATTGAAGAATTAGCATCACTATTCCTCATATCAAAAGATGAAAAAGCACTAACATATCGATATAATTCACAATTTGTATCAATTGTTAATTTACCATCCGTAGCAATATTAACATTATCACAATTAACATTAGCATTCGTATAAATGTTTCCTAAAACATCGATAGGTTTAGAAAAAATAGTTTTATTAACTAATCCATCACACATCATATATTGATTAGAAGCATTTGTAACATCACCAACACTAATGGCTACAAAATCATCATGAGACATATATAAGCCTTCAATAGAACTGGGAGTATATCTTCGTATTGAACCATTATTATTAAAATTCAAATATGAACCATTGTTAAGATTTACTGCCTTGTCAGTTCCTATAAAATCAACTGCATCAGTAAATCTCGATTTTCCGGCACAGTTTAAAACATAACCATTAACACCAACAGCACCTAAACCAAATCCATCTTTTACCCAAACTCTTCCAACATTAGCGTCTCCGATTTGCGTTTCCCATTGACCCCCTGCGCTACTCATCCACATGCGTCCGTCTCTATTAATATTAAATTCACGATTAAACATTTTAAAAGTCATTTGCAATCCTAAATTAGGCGAAGGTGTAGTACTAAACTTGTTACAAATTATAGAACCAGTAGTCAACATATTTAAATTACTGTGTACAGTTGTATTATCACTAAAATTAATAGCACCTGCTACTGATTGAGCGTTAGTATCTATTTTATCTAACTTTTGACCTAATGATGTATCCTGTGAATTATTAGTAGTAATTATTGAATTAATTGTATTTGTATTTCCTGTTATTAATCAATTTAATCCATCTGATTGTAAAACATATCTAGCATCAGAACCTGCTATATTTAAAATAGACGAACAAGAAAATAAACCAGATACTTGTAAATTAGATAATATTGTTGTATTATGATTTAATATTATTTTATCATTTTGAAAAGTTGAAGAATTATTTATTTCTACATCTCCAAAACCTCTTTGATTTAAAAACATAGTTGCCCCACTTAAATTTCCATAAATATAACTATCAAAATAATTATTATACATTTCATAAAAATTATTATAATTTCCAAAATTTGCTATTTTAAAAGTCGATGTTGTTGTTATATTATGTATTAATGTATTATTTAATATTGATGTATTTAATTTATCTGATAATAAATTATTAGTTGTTATTTTATTGTAATATAAATTACTATCAAATGAACCTGTTTGTAATTGAGATATTAAATGAGAATTTGATGAAATATTATTAAAATTAGTTGATACAGTAGAAATTAAATTATTTATTAAATTTGTATTTGATGAAATATTATTAAAATTTGTATTAATTAAATTAGTATTTGATGAAATATTATTAAAATTAGTTGTCATAGTAGAATTCAAATTATTTATTAAACTTGTATTTAATGAAATATTATTAAAATTTGTATTAATTAAATTAGTATTTGAAGAAATATTATTAAAATTAGTTGTCATAGTAGAATTCAAATTATTTATTAAACTTGTATTTAATGAAATATTATTAAAATTTGTATTTGAAGTTATTGTCAGTTTACCTATTAAAAAAGAATTTGAACTAATATTATTTGATAATACATTAATTTCTGTTTTGTCATATGTTTCAGTTATATCATAAAAATTAGCGTTTATCTGCTCCTTTGTGTAAGTATCTGCTTGGTCTGCTTTACTATCTAATACTGTTTGAATGTCAGATTTACTCGCGTAAAGGTCTTCTATATCATTGACTGCTCCATCTTTTACTTGCCTAATTCTATTTGCTGTAATATCAATGATATTCATTAAGTTTTTGCTCATAATATTATATTATTAATTAGAAAATTAATAATATCATATTTTCTTTTTAATCATAAAATGTTACAGAATTTGAACGGATTTCAAGAATGCACTCATGAACCAAGAGCATATACATTCTCTCAGCCATTTTCTTTTCAGTATATAATGTTGAACCATCCAACGCCTTTATTTTTATTACCATATTTGAGTTATTTTTAAGGTTCATACCAGTATAATTTGCACTTTCTAATTTTTGTAAATTAAAACCATACATAAAAGCGTGAGACCTGTAATCTTCTGCTCTAACTAACATTGGTTTATCTGAACAATGCATAAGATGGGCGTAAGCTTCACGAACACCTTGAATTTCTTGACTGGGTATGACTTGATTACCGACTACTAAAGAAGCTGATAAATCATATTCTGGGTTATAAATACCTACATCATTTGTTATATTCCCTAATGGGTGATACATACGATTATATTCTTTCAACAGCTCTCCATAACCTCCAACATAAGTTTTTGCTGATGGGTTTGAAAAAGAAATAAACAGTTTATTTAATTTAGATACATTACGGACAATTGTAGTAAATACTTCAGTTTCAGCAGATGCTGTTTGTTCTTGCATGGTTTCAGTTTCAAATGTAATTGGAAGAGAGCCAGTTTCTAAAATTTTTGCATATTCTGCATATAAACTATCGTCGAGGGTGTAAACGTTGCCTTTGAAAATTGGCTTGGTAACTGACCAAGTGATACTCGTATTTGAAGCAGTAAAAAGTCCTGTTCTATTAACAATTGGTTTCAATACATCACTTGTTAAATATAATTCAACTGTTATTGGACAATAAGATAAAGGTATCCAGTTTTCACAAGTCTTAAAGCATTTTAAGTTTAAATCGAAATAGACATTAGCACCTTTACCTCCTTTAATTCCTCTAAAATTGTTATTGGTAACATTTCTAACGACTGATTGAGTAGTAGAAGTTGCTGACGCATCACAAGTTAAAAACCGTCCATCGTGATTAAGAAGAGTGTTTCCAAAACCTAATGCTTCATCAATTCTTTTTTCTTCTGATGATTTTAATACATCTTTCATTGTACTCGCACGAGAAAGAGAATTTAAATCGCATACAATGACATCACCCATTAACACACGCACCCTATCAAAGAAACCGGCTGTATCAATTGGTCTGAGTTCATTACTTGCTGAATTATCAGTGTTGTTTAGAGTAAATCCTAATAATAGTGAAGGTAAGGACAACCATTGATTAGGTTGTCCAGTAATGTTAAATCTAATTACAGAGTTGGTATCAGCGGTATATGTTGAAACCGATGAAGGATAAAAGTTTTTACTTTCTTTTGACCGAACATAAGAACCGCCATCTTTTAATTTAAAGCGAAGGTTCTTCTCTACAGGGACATCTTCAATATCTAATGTTTCCATCTTTATATATTTAATAATAGAAAATTATTATATTATTCTATTATTAAATTAATTTATTTTAAAGTGTGAGTAATCTATAACTTCTTTTTTAGACTTTTTTAATAGTTTTTTAGATTTATTTTTCATATTATTATGTTCAACCTTATAATTAGGTTCGTCTTCTACAATCTTTTTAATGTCATCATAACTGACTTTCTTTTTAGGATTTATAGTATTTTTTATATCATTATTAGGCATTATATATAAGACAACAAAATTTCCTTTACAGGTTCAATACTTCTTGAAACATCTTTACCAGCATCACCATAACCAGTCTTATAATCGTGATTTATCAATGGGTTTAAACTTCCAGTTGCTACTGTAATCGCTCCACGGTCTGCCACTGATATTGGGTCTAATATACTTCTGAAATTAGTATAACTATCATTATTTTTGTTTGACATTGAAATAAAAGGAGCACCGTAAGTAGTTAATCTAATATTTCTATCAGGATTTTCTTGTAAATATTTAGCACTCGCACTACTACCCAATGAATGTGAAATAACTTCACTAATATTATGGTTTTCATCAAGTATATCGCTAATATCTCTATACCTTTCACTGAATGAACTTAAGCCAAATGGAATTGTAATATCACTTAAAATATCATTAATATTTGATTTAATATTAGACTTACAAAATGTCCCAGCAACATATAGTTTATTATTATCCAAATAATAACCTTTACCATTTGTATATGCTTTGTTTAATCCTTCTGTGTCAGATAAATTATTATTATATTTAGGTTTGAATAATGATTTTTCTTGTTGAATTTCATTAATTATTTTCCTATACATCTCACTATATCCTTGATGAAGCGGATTGTATGATTTTAATTTTCCTTCTTTTAAATAATATTTATATTTATTTTTCATATATAATTAAATTATAAAATTTCTAATTAAATTAATATAATGAGATTTCGTAAAATATATATCAACAGTGCTTATCGTGATTTAAATGACAGTCAATCTACATCAGATTTTGTTATTAATTTAAGAGAGCAACAAGAATGCGGACCAAATACTAAAATGATTTGTCACGAAGTATCTATCGCTAATTCATTTTATCCAATTGAAGATAATTTAAATAACAGATTATATTTAACATTAGGAGGGAGATTAATAGGAGCACCAGTATATTATTTTATTGTAGCACCTGATAAAGGTAGTTATGTAGGTAGTGAATTAGCAACCGAATTACAAAATAAATTGAACACTGCTACTAATGGAACTGATGGAAACAGTATTTTTTTTACTTGTAGTTATTCATTAAAAACAAATAATATAACTATAAGTTGTAATTATATTTCTTACTTTTTTGTAATCCATACAGATAAAGAATTAAAAACAAATTACAGTTTTGGTCTTGATTATGATAGAGATTATCTTAATAGTATTAATGACATTTTAGGAAATACTACCGAAAAAGTAAATAGTACAGCAGACCCTTTTGTTAGTGGATTTATATCATTTTTACCTGTTAAAAATATTTATATTCATTGTAATGAATTAAGTAACGGAAACCAGTTATGTAGTTTTGGTACTTAATCAATAATAAAGAAAGTACCAGTTTTAACATCATTCGGCAACCTCATATATGATAATGAACTAATTTTAAATGATGCTAATGATGTTAGTATGCGTTCATTGAATAGACTTCATTTTAGATTTACTGATGCATCGGGTAGAGTTTTAAATATGAATGGAACAACAAGTAGTTTTAGTTTAACATTTTTTGAAAGTTAGAAAAGCATATATTAAATATTTTAATATAAATATTTATTATATACTAATTATATGGTTAAAAATATTGAAATAGTAGATGTGGGCAGTGAAAATAATGAAGCTCCTAAAGAAGTAGAAGACATTAAAGAAGAACCTATTATTAATGAAGAAAGTAAAGAAGTAGAAACTAATAATATTATAAATGAAGAAAATAATAAAGTAGAAGAAGAAGAAGAACACGAACCAAAGCAAGAATTAAAATCTAAAACATACTCAACTGAGAAAGTGGAGTGTCCAAAGTGTAAAAAATATTTAACAAAATACACTTTCAAATATCGTCATAACTGTAATGGAATACCAGTTAAAAAAGAACCAGACCCTAACAAAGTTGTTCGAAGAAAAATTATGCATCCACAACAAGAAAAAGAATTTGAGAATAATGTATATGAAAAAGTTAAAGATAATATTCCAAAAGTGGATGAACAAGAAATAGAAAGAAGAGTAGAAGAAAGATTGAAAAAACATTTAGAAACAACAGCTAACAAAGTGTTTGAAACTGCAAAAGACCGGGTGGAAGCAGAGCTTACACCCGTCGCCGCAGCGCGGCTCCGGTATATTAATATGAAGGTAGAGCGAGATAATAAAAATAAACAGAAAATTAATAATTTAGCAAGTAAAATTATTTGATAAATATATTTATAATCTAATTAGTATTATATATAATGATTATTGATAAGAAACAATTGCTTATGCGCCGTAGAGAAATTTATGACAACGTTGTAAATAGAATAACAGAACCACAAAATAAAGACAAACCGAATATCAGTGATGTTATTGATAGAAAAGCAGTTTTTGAAACAAACAAACCAAAAAAGAAGAATAAATATAAATCAACTCAACATTACTATTATGAAGGAGACAACAAGGCACACCAACCTAATTACACATATTTGAAAGAATTACAAGAACAATTAGAAAGTCATAGCGCTAAAAAAGATTATGCTGTATTTCAAAATAAAAGAAGATATCAAGAAGAAGCACAGGCGTATTTTAATGAAATTCAAAGGTTGGAAGGTGAAAAGTTGAGACATCACCCATCAAGTGAAACAGGTAAATCATATTCAGAAATTATTAAGAAGAAGAAAGGAATAATCAATCAATTAAGAAAGGATTTTAATTTTGATTAAATTAATTAGATTAATTAGATTAATAAATTATAATCTAATTAATTTAATATACTAATGAGATTAGACAATGAACAGATGAAAACGCTAAAATCACAATTGAGATTAAGACCGTCTTATAATGAACTGATAAAGGAAATTACAAAGGAAGAATATAAAAATAAGAATATAAGAGATGTAATAGACAGAAACGCTTATTATTTTCGTGATAGTCCATTAGGAACAGTGTATGATAATAATACAGTAGATTTGAGACAACAACACTTTAAAAAAATGTTAGATGGGAAAAATCAAACAGAACATTTTGATATATCGAGAGATGATGAAATGGATGATTTAAGAGACGGTTCAATACAAACACTAAGTGCCTCAATGGATGATGCAGAGGAACAACACGAACGACAAATCAGTCAAATTTCAAAAAGAGTTAGTAGCAAACAAATAGCAGACCTACAAGAACGAGCACAACGAGCAAGACAATTAGAGGGACAAGAGGGGAGAAGACCAAGTATCCAGTCAATGGTAACTGCAAAATCAAGCGATACTGAAGACTTACCACCATTGGAACCGCTTATGACAGAAGACGAAGCAGTTAAAGAATATGTTAAAGGCCTTGTAAATCGTAAAATCAAAGATGTAGCAAAGAAAGTGGCATCATCAAGAGAGCAAAAAATGGATAGCGCTGACAGTTCATCCACAGTCCAACAAAGACAAACAAGAACACATAAGGAAACTATTGACTACTCAACTGATATAAACCATTGGAAGGGAAGCACAGTAAAAGAAGAAGACTTATTATTTCAATTACATTTAAGAGGAGCAGGACTTACTGAAGAACAGGAACAACAATATTCAAACACAAAGAAAAAGGGCAAAGGAAATAAGGAAACAGGTAGAACTTATTTAGTTGGACTGGTGGAGAAACTCATAAACAGTGGAAAATGGACGACGAAAGTAAATGATGAATTGCTAAGAAAAAGAATGGAAGATTGGAGAGTTATGAAAGGAAAAGGTAAAGCAACAAAGGGTTAAATAACTCATTTATATATTTTATCAATAATTATATAAAATGATTAAAAACCGCAAGCACGAGTTAAGGAAACGCCCTACTTATGATGAAATGCTTAAACAAGCAATCACAAGCAAAATGAAAACAACAGTTATATTGAAGAAATACAAAAAATATATGTTATTGAATAATTTTGATTTTGATAAATTGGATTTAATGAATTATAAAAATAAAGAAAGATATATGAACGCTCAAGTTATGATGATGGACGCCTCGCCAGAGGCTCGCGAGCTTCGCGACAAGGCAACACAAACGCTTAACAAAGAAAACAAGGCAACACAAACAGACCTACCAAATGATAAAGCGACACAAACTTATAATTTTGATGATGAGACAAAAATATTAGGCGGTTCTTCAAAGAGTTTCAAAAGCAAACTGATAACCAAGGCTGAAGCAGAAGCAATAGCATTTACATATGACCCTGATTTATATGATGACGACGATGATGATGATGATAAAAAGGATGATGATATTTATAAATATAGAAAGAAATTATTTATTTTGATGAGGATTATAGAATTTATGTTGAGGACGGGTTTTAGTATAGGACAAATAGTAGCACATTTAACATATCACACTACATTAACTACAATTCAAGGTTCAGAGTTATTAGTTAATCTGACAATGAATTCATTAGTAACATCATACGATATAGCAACTGCTATAATGAATTGGTTGAATACAAATGTTAGTGAGGAAGTTGAATTAAATACTTCCCCGCCTATTAGCGTTAATAGTTCTCCACCTATCACTGTTAATAGTTCTTCAACGCATACTGTTAAGTCATCATCATCAGAAGAAAATTCTAATTATGAAATAGCACCACCAACAGAAATACATATTCCTACTGATGCTGAAAGTGAAAATGATGGAGATAAGGATAAAGATAAGAATAAAGAAAAACAATAAAATAATAATAATAATAATAATAATAAAATATAAAAATTAAATACCAGAATTTGTAAAAATGCCTTAAAGAAATAGCGATTTTATTCTATAAGATAAATGCCATTCTATAGCAGACACTCAGATGATGGAAGAGATAGATTGTTAGGAGGAATACATGATGAAGATGATTATAATGACTTTATGAATATGTTATTTATGAATAGTAGTTTTGCTGATGACATTGAAAGACATTATAAAAGTTCAGATGCTGATGTGTTGCCAAGTCCTACTGATAGCGAAGAAACAATAGAAAATAAAGAGAAACAATATCAAAAGGATTATCATAAAAAATACTTTCAAGAAAAACTTAATAAACCTTATACATGTAATATTTGTGGGAAATCAATGGCCAACAGTTCTAACAAATCAAGACATGAAAAAAGTAGAAAGTGCCAGAGTATTAAAAGTAAAGTCTAATTGGATAATATTAATTTAATTTTAATTAATATAATCCAATTTCAATATATGAGTAAACTAAGTAATTAGGAGATAATGAGCAATATCTACTATGATTTAGAAACAGGTTATGGTTCTAAACAAAGCTTATACAATCAAGCACAAGAGAAAGGAGCAAGTGTAACATTAGAAGAAGTGGCAAAGTGGTTGAAGAAGCAACCTAACAAGCAAATAAAACCGTATCAGAATTATAACAGTTTCTTAGTTCCATATGCCAGAGCAGAATTTCAAATAGATATTATGGATATGAAAATATTTAAGAAAGAAGATGAAGAACGCTATGCATTGATTGTAATAGATGATTTCAGTAAATTAGGTTTTGTGTATCCAATGTTTCAAAGAGACAGTCCAAATGTTTTGAAAGGTTTGAAAGAAGCATTTAAAGTTATGGGTGAGCCTGTGGAAATCTTTTCTGATGATGATGGAGCATTTAAAGCAGAAGTAAAGAAATATTTAGATGATATAGGTATAATACATAAAACAACGCTAACACATGCCAATAT